CCCCAAAACCCCAAAACCCCAAAACCCCAAAACCCCTGATGTTTGATTTAATATTGTATAATCAATTAAATATAAGCATGGGAGCTAACAGCTGCTGAACCAAGCAGAATATCAAGGTAAGCATACAGGATTTAATTCCCCCAACTTGTTTATTGAAATTCTTGCTCATTTTTGCTCAAAGTTGATTCCTCCAGTTGGAGAGTTAGAACAACAATGAGGTAGCTTATTGGATTAAAAAGCTGATCGGTTCTATCTTTGAACATATCTCGACAAAAGGGTTATGATAATTTCAGAATTTTATGACTGATTTAGGATAAAAGTGATGTAGAGGCTACACCCTCCAGGAGTGTTAAAAGCAGCAGGATAGCAATCCATAAGAAAATCTATGAGAAAATAGCTGCAGAACATAAAAAGGAAGATGGTGGAGAACTCAAATAACCTAGACTCAAATGCTAATTTTAATGACTTTAACCTCCAGAAAAATCTTCAGAAGCTAACAAGGAATGTTAAAATGTTCAAGGGCAAGAACACAGAGAAGGAAAAGGAAGAACCCCCTCGTGAAAGATTACCTCCTATAGGTCAGGGCGATAGCACTAAGACCCTTAATGAGACACCTAAACTAACTCTAAACAATGAAGAGTCTGAAAAAGAAGCTCAAGAGGATGAAGAGGGGTCAGTCTCTATGGAAGAAGAAGAGTTCAAGGGAAGACAAAGCAGAGACATTGGAATCTCTGAAGAGTCCAAAGGTAATTCATCCCAGTAGTATTAAAATACATTATCAAAATTATTATAAATGTGTGCAAGGAGGATTTTATTTGCTCCTAGGCTCTCAAACCCTTTTGAGTTGATTTCTCAACTAGATTTGGTGAACTGAAATTCTTCCAAATAAATTTAGAATTAAATTCTAACACTGATGTGCTACCCTGTAGCAGGTAATGCAGGACAACGATTATAGAAATATTATAATACACTAAGTTTTGTAAAATACAGTCGAAATTTATGCTAGATATGGTAAAAACAATGTCTTTTAGGCCATTTCATAGACTTTCAAAGTAACCATTATTAGTACCAACTCAGAGCTACCTTTCTATGTCAAAATTTTTAATCTTCCCACTATGAAAATCTTTTTGGATTTAGTCACGTATAACATAGCATTTCCATTCAAAATGAAATATTTCGAACATTTCAGTTGCTGAAAATAAAACCAAATTTCTTGATGGCCAATCTCCATGAAAATTAGCCATTGAGCTTAGAATACTCTTTTCTCATTAGTAGTAAAGGAATTAAATTTTGGGTTAATAATTTTCAGATGGAGTTTAGCCTTTCCTACACATGAAATGGAACGAATTTCCAGTTAATTGTCAATCATAATCTTAATTTCAGAGTACTCAGATTCAGAGAAAGAGTACGATTTGGGTAATGTGATCACCTTGAACCAGACCGGGAAAATTTCAAGAGCTTTGCATTTTAACACTGCTAAGTTGATTATTGTCAGAACATTGGAATATTCCTCGTTGTCTGATGAGCAGATCAGCGCCAGGCTTGATTACATTAAGGTATTGTCAATTGATTTTCTAATACAATAGGAAAATCTAGACCTCCTGAAAGAAATTACCTCGCCAAATATTATTGAATATATCTGAGCTGATAGTGATCTTGAGGCTTGCACTATTAATGTTGGAATGGAATTCGTCCCTGGTGGATCCCTTCAGAATATTCTTAAATATTTTGGAACTTTTAAGGAAAAACTAGCGAAAATTTATATCATACAGATACTGGATGGCCTCTGTTCCCTTCATAATAATGGATTCCTGCATGGAGATCTTAAATTGAGTAATGTATTAGTGGATGATGTGGGAATTGTCAAACTGGCAGATTTCGCATTTTTAAAGCAAACCTTCTTGCTGGAGCAACCTGATGAACCTCCAGAAGCTTTCCGATCAATAATTACTCCACTTCTCAATTCAGAAGGAAATGTCACCCCAGAGATGTGAAAGCATGACTTTTACGAGCCAGATCCGAGTTATGATATTTGGTGATTAGGCTTAGTACTCTATGAGATGCTTGCTGGAAGACCACTGTTCAGTATTTTCGAAAACCGAGAAGAAAAGCTTCATGAATTTTTAAGGGAGCTTGAGGAACCTCCTTCTATTGATCTAAAATGATCAAAAATATGTCTTGACTTCATCTACAGATGATTATCTCCTGACCAGACTAAGAGGGCAACTGCTAGTGACCTATTAAAGCATCCTTTTCTATCTATCACGAAAGAAGAGAGAAGGGAAAGTCAAGATACCTCAAATTTTATTTCTTTCTTTTCTATTGTGGCCTCCCAAGCTAGTAATAATCCGGACCAACACATGCCTAATTTGGGTATGTCTGTTGATAGATCTGCCAACAACTTGTACGATTCATGTAAGTTTCACCTACCTTTTTCCCAACAGTTCCAGAGTTAGGCTCATATTTTGTTTTAGCAAGCAATCCGATTATTAATAGAGCTATGAGGAAACCATTAATATCAGAGAAATTGACTCGTGAGGGATCAACGGGAAATGGTCCACAACTCGACTTAAGAGTATCCACAAGTGTTTATAATAAGTTGCATAATAAAGAAGGAAAGAAGAGCATTCTAAGCACAGGAGGGATTAATTTCGAAGTTCTCTCTCAGATGTCTGAAAATTTCAACCTTGGAGATTACACTAACAATAGCATCCATGAGAGTATGGAGAATATCCAGACTGGCATTAACAAGAGAAAATCAAGTAAATTCCAGAGTGGCAATAAACTGTTCTTGATTCTTAGAAAGCTGAGAGAGGCTCCAAATTAGCCAAAAATATTCGGTTTTACAGAATTAAACACTGAATAACTAATTTACTCTAAAAGATAATATTCTTATATTTTAATATTCAATTCACCAGCAGTAATGGGGTTTTGGGGTTTTGGGGTTTTGGGGTTTTGGGG